TTTAGGGAAAATTAGCAATTTTAGGGTAGTCGGATACCTTAATTAATTCAGAATCTACTCGTATCATTTTCCTTATATTCCTCATACTATTTTCTGTGTTTATACAGCAATGGATATTCGCATATATCAGGATTCCTTCACATGGCATTATTTCAAAACAGTGTCATAAAATAGCTCAAGAGATCAGTCAAGAGACATTTTGGGAACCCACTACAAAATGTTTAAAACATTTACTAATAATATTAATATGTAAATAATACATAAATATAAATAACGTGATGCTTGCTAGAGTTATTTCACTGTAAATTAAACTTTTTTCTCTGCATTCACCAATCGGAAACATGACTCCAGAAGTGTAGCAACTTTCGTTGCATTAATATAAAATTTTAATGTATTTCTTAAGAAATAATATAAAAAATATCATTTCAATGAATTATTTATCGAAAAAGAATCGTGCAAATCTCAAATCAGTTTTTAAAAAATGTTAAAGGCATATCTGTAGCGGTAACTTAACCAAATTTAGAAAACAATAGTTCTTATTTATTTTATAACGCGTAAACAAAGCGCTTTTCACAGTAATGTATAAATATACACTTCATTTTTACTCAAACTCAATTTAAACTGAATGAGAAAACAAAAGCCCTGTTAAAACCATCATCCAATCTGGTTTGCTGCTCTCTGATAAGAGAGAGAGAGACTAAAAAAAATAATAAATATAAATATATAAACTGAGAAATTTCCAACACAGAAATATTTGTCCCCACAAAAAGCTCTTCCACCCTGTAGCATCGAATAAAAAAATATCCCACACTGTTGCTGACTTAGTGTCTAGTGTTATTATTTCTGCTAAATTTATATATCTCGGGGAATCTCGTTTGCGTGACGTTAAATTCGTTTGCGACTTTATATGCCCCCAAGGTTTTGCTTTTATTGAGACTTGGCAAATTAGATTCTGTGTCTTAACGCTTCAATTCTTCTCACATTTTATTCTTGTATACTTCATGGCTTGTAGACAGCGAATGTAAGAAGGTTTTCATAAATATACCAGACCTTTCTTTTTTGATGTCTATTTGCATGCTAATTTTATATGCGAAAATTTAAGTGAGAAAATGACATGTGTATGTTTTTAATAAAATTTATATGAAATGTAACAAAGTTCTGTTGTTTTTCCCCCTTCAAATACAGGTTTGAATGGTTTAAAATAAAATTTAATTTAATTTCCTTTAAAATATTTATTTTTTGTATGTGTACACTCTACTTTGATTTAATGAGGATGTTTTTTCGAGAATGTTCTTCTTCTAGAAGTCATAGTGAAATAACTTAGTTAATAATTTCCCAAAGAATTTTTTATAATAAAATAATTAATAATTATAGATTAAGTAATTTCACAAGTGAAAAAGAATTTGGATTTTTTGTCTGAAAACGTATTAACATATTTTTTTCCTTTATTAAAACTCAAAATAGCATAGGTCAGTTTTCTTGTTTTGTGTTTTAAATATAAATAGGAATTTTACATGGATACATTGTTTCAAATTTGAAATCAAGACGTAGAATCTTAAAATAAGTGGAAGGAAAAAGCTTAAGTTTGTAACATTCACTTCTGTGTATTACTATATCTTTCTGTTATTACCACCTTTGCACTTTGTCATACACAACAACAACAACACATTAAATTGTAAAAAAATAATAGTGCCAAGAAAAAGAAACAAAATTAGATGTCGAAGTTTTGCTTCTAGTGTCTCTTTGGATTGAAATCCTGCTTTGATATAGGGATTTTCAACCTTTTACGCCACGAAGGCCAAATTAATACATTTACAATGTATAAATATTTGTACAATACATGTTGTACAAAGATCAAACGATTAAAATTACAGCCTCTTGTGACGTAAGGATGATGACAAAATCAATTTTTAGTGTAGCCGCCGTTTTTGGCTATAATTGTTGTCACACGCCTCAAATAGAATCAAAGAGGCTTTGTATGTACCCTTGGGGTACAGAAGTCCATACGGCGTCCACATATTGCCAAAGTTGATCTGTGGTAGCAGCGAGTGGTGTATCCTGGCTTATCGTTGTGCAAGCATGGATCTTTGATTGGTGATAGATCGGGAGAACAAGCAGTCCAAGGAAGTAATTTAATCTGATGGGTAAAGAAGAATTCTTGAACGATGCGTGTCATGTGTTCTTGCTCCTTATCCTGTTGGAAAATGGCTGATGACATGGGCTGCATGTATGGGAGGATTAAGTGCTCCAACAGCTCACAGATGTAGCGCTGGTTGTTCAGTGTACCGGCAATGCATACTAGAGGATTGCGGCAGTGAAATGCAATACCACACTTAACCATGATACCGGGTGCAGGACCAGTGTGGCGATGAATAACACAACAGTTCAGCAGCCTCTCACCCCGGTGTCTCCTAACTCGAATCTGACCATCGTGATGTTGGAGCCAGAAGCGGAATTCGTCATTAAACACAATGCCGTTCCATTCCGTGGTTCATTTAGACCGTTCATCACACCATTGGCAGAGTAAGGGCTTGTGGTTTCCAGAAGTGATAACGAAGCAATGGACGCCTTGCAGATATTCCACTCTGCTGCAAACAACGTCTAACACCAAATGATGCGTAACAGCTTGAACCTGTTGTGCAATGGTTCGTGATGTGGTTGCGTGATCCATCACTGCCTTGTGCACAATCCAAATGTCATCATGGGCAGTAGTGCAACGAAAAGGGTGCGTTCGGTCTCGTTGGTCCGTCGCTTACTCCTGCACGCAGCGATGACAGATTCACATCACAGATGCTTGTTTCATCCAACACGTTGACCGATTACTCTGAAGGATAATCCACGATCCTTATAGACTACTATTTTATTTAAAATTGTCTCAAATTAAAATGAGGGGCCGCTAAAATACTTTCATTGGCCCTTTCGTGGTCCGCCGGCCGCGGGTTGAAGACCCCTACTTTAATACATACGTTTCGAAAAAAAAATATTTTGTTTCCGTGTACCCCAATAATTATAGTAGAGAACACATAGTCATTATTGTAGAGTCGTTGATTCGAATCCTGGTGCCACTAAAGACTCGTCGTGTAAAAAAACTCATGCCCGTGAAATCTGTCTTGGTTGCTAAAAGTCCTTACGTATTTGAGGTGTGGAAGTTTGGAGAGTGGGGTGCCTGTTCAGATGTCCTCCTTGTTACTTGACTCAGACTCAAAATTACAAGATATCGCCAACCACCTTCGCGTTGCTTTAGAATCCAACATTAATCAAAAGTAAATTATATATATATATATATATAAATAAATGTAAGGATACGTAAATTAGATCTAAAATTAACTCCCTAGTCCCCTTCTAACTTTTATTTTCCCGTTACATCTTCAAGTATTAAATTTATTACCCAGTTCGGGAATGGAGAACACATGGCTTTAACAGATTCGCCGCTCCTACCACTAATTTTTATTATCTAGTATTTCAAATATACCTCTTCAATAAGGAATGTACTTGAACAGACATATGGATCTTGAGAAGCGCGGACTCTTCGTTTTTAACACGCGTGTCCGTCTCTCTCTCTCTCTCTCTTTTCAAATCAGATTACAAAATGATTTCAAGGAATAAAAACGGTTAAAATAAAATGTCTTGATGTTCACTCGAAAAACACGATATATATATATATATATATATATATCCGTATTACTTAAAATATTTTTTAGAAAATATTGCATTTTAATTTCATATCTAAGTATTTTTCCAAACCTTTAATTCAAAAAAATGCATATTATAATATTATATCCCTAATCATACAAAAACAGCCTGTTATTTATAAACATAACAGGAATGTAAAATAATTATGGATTCAAAAATAGTTCATTTTATTACATTCTTAATGAACATGAAAAAAGTACATAAAATCTACTTGAAATTAAAATTAACATTTAGTAACACTTCAAGCACCGTGCATAGTCATAAATATTATGTAACCTATTACACAATAAACTGTAAAGTAAATATTTATAAATATTTTTTATTATAAATATAATTCACATTCTCTTTGCTCTATAGAATCAAAATAAAAGTCTCCTCAATCTTGTTTTGCATTATAAATATATTTTTCGTAGTTTAAAAACTCATAAAGCATTCAATAACTCTGTTATCAAATCTTACAAATTGTATCAAATATCACGATTCTCGCTTGTTTGGGATTAGGTTCACCCTGAATAATACGTAAGAGATATTCTAACCTAGCATTATTGTAATTTCGTTATACGTTACGGTTTTATTTGTGGAAAACAATATAACATAGCAAAAGAAGCAAGCCTCGCGTTACTGTTAATAGACAATGTAAAAAGTAAAGCAAAACAAGATTGTTTTGTATTTTTATGTTCCCTAAAGGAAAGATTTTCTAAATTCCATTATGATCGAAAACTCAGTTTACGTGACGTGTTTTTTAACAAAGATTTGCTTTTTAAAATAGCTAAAATATCGAGGTTTATTTATTTATTTATTTATCCCTCTTTTAAGTTGCAGTCTTTGAGAATAGATAAAAAATCAGATTTCTCTTCTTTGAAAGAGTTCTGAATTCCAGAGAAATTTTCAAGAAGTTGGAACCTGGTAGCACAGAAATATGACCTTCATTCAAGGTCATATATCTATGTAGATAAATTGTATTGAAGTGATGTGACAATTTGAAGAGTACAGTATACCTAACTCTTTTTCAATTCCTACGATTAGTTCGCATTCTCTTCCTATATATATATATATATATATATATATATTTATTTATTTATTTATATACCTTGTTCAAGTTTTCAATCGTTAATAAAATACTTTCTTTCATCCATTCAAATTCAAATGCAGTTTTTAAATGTGTAATGGATGAATGACGCTTGATGTTAATACAGTTTTTTTCTAATATTAATTCATTAAATAAATTAAAAAAGGAAAAAATAGTGACAAAGAAAAATAATATTCCAACGGCATACATAGAACAGAAAATTGTTCGTTTAGTCCTTGAGTGCAATTGATAGCGAGTTGGACTTCTAATCCAAAAATCGTGTGTTCGAATCCCACCTGAAATGGCCTAATTTCTGAGAATGTAATTTTTTTACCATACTATTTTATTAAAATAATTAAACTTAAGGAATGAATAAATAGTAACAAACAAAATAGTCCAACACCCTAAATAGAAATGAAAATGGAAATTTGCAAGGAAAATCGCTTTTTATTTAGGCACTTCATATTGTGGTTCTGTCGTATGTATATACGTATTTAAAAATTAATTGTAACTATTTAATAAAAAGTAACTAAAATAAAAATTTTCTTTGTTGATCGAAGTGGGAATTGACTTAAAAAAAAAATTTTATTAGTTGTTTTGCATGGTAGATACGTTCCTAAGAGAACCGTGTAAAAAATACATGTGACATGGTAAATTTCCTTTTTCTTTTTTTTCACACGAATATTTCTTACACGAATAAAAAAATAATTTGCCATCTCTTTTTACGAGAAATAGAGTACACAATTTAGGTTTAACACCGAATAAAAAATCAGTTTTATTCTTTTTTACTCGCACGTTTTTTAATACAATTTTCATTCAATTTGAATTTTAAAAAATACGGTTTTCTCTCTTTTTATGATTCTTTTATTTAATAAGATCGTTAAAAATTAAAAAAGAAATATTTTTTTATTATTCACTTCTTGCGCAATTCCGAAATCTTTTCTCACAATTTCACAATTCGTTGATTATAAATAATTTTTAAATTTTTAAGCTTAATTTACTTATATTTTTTCAATTATATTGATTTTTTTTTCTTCAATGTATTTCAGATTTTTTAGCATAATGTGTATTCTTATTCAGGTATTAAAAAATAAGCCTACGTTTCAATTTTAATGCAGATGTAAATTAAAATAAAGCCTAAGGACACAGAAATTTATTAATTTTATTTAAATTCAATAAATGGTAAGCTCTATACAAATTCATGTGCTCGCACATACCCTATTCTATATTACATTTTATTACAATCAAATAAAGAGCTAACCCTGACTGCTGATTTTTATATCCTTCAAAAACTTTCATATTAAAATATTATGAATGTAATATGGTATTTGAAAATAGTACAGTCTGGTCTATAAAAAAGTTACAGAAAATAGCATATCTTTTAATTTCATAAATAGGAAATGTTCCCGAAAAATCCAAATAATTCATTTTATTTATTTTTATAAATCAGTTTAAGCTTTATAAAATCATAGCATTTATAAAATTTTAAATTTAAGTTTTGTAAGGTTTATTTTTTTTTTGGTTGATTTTTTCAAGTCTTGAACTATTCTCTTTTTTGGTAGATTTAATATACTTTTTTAAAAGTTTTTTTATATAAATTCCATGAGGATTTATACGTTGAGTAAAAAAAAAGAAGAATCAAACGTATCATTAAATTACCTTAATTTAATTTTTTGGATGGGGAGAGGGTGGATTAAAGAGTGAAAAAATAATCTTTAAAAGGTTAATCGAAGTATAGTACAGCCCCGTAGGCTGTCTGTGAGGATTTACCTAAAAAATTACAACGTAAAAAAATACTTATATTTCTGAAAAAAGAACCCACCGTGGTTTTATCCCCTATATGATGGAAGAAAAACTAAAAAAATCTGCTACTAATAGTTTTTATTTTTTCCACAAATGAGCTGCAGCTTTGAACAATTTCAATTCCCTTTCTATTTCATTTTAAAACATCTACAAAAATAATATGGATTTTTTTTCCGTCGTCTTATTATTTCCTTCCGTTTTACTTTTCATTTAACATAATTTGCTAATAAAATAATATACTGAAAATAAATACAGTAATGCCCCGAACTTGCACGATAGAGTCATAGCCGCGAAAGTCGGGATATAATTTCGCATATAAATATACATAAATTATTTTTAGTTAGGGTTAAAAACAAAATAAAATAATAATTTAGGGGGAAAAAGTTTTAAAAAAATCTTAGGTAACACAAATACCAAATAGCAAACCAAAGTTACTTTGATATAGAAGATAAAAAATCTAACAAGAATTCTGCGGCTCAAAGAATTTTTTCCCTTCAAAATTTCGTCGTAGCCTTCTAACAATTTTTTTATTCTTTGGTTTGTTGAAAACATACGCTCTTCGTTGAAGTATGTATTTATAAAATTTGTAACATTTTATTCAAGTAAACTGAAACTTTCTGTCTATTTACCAATCATCGTTCAATCTTCTGACTGAACTGAGTTAAAGACTCAAGTTCTTAAATGTCTTGCTCATGCATTTCTATGAGCTTATGAATTGTCTCTATCCCCTTCTCAATTTATCCGTCAGGCAATATCGACTTCTTCTTAAATCAAATTATCAATTTCATCTGTCTCTGACACTGATTTGGCCTGAATTTCAGTGATGATAAAAAAAAAAGACGAATCGATGGGATATGAATATTACATAAGTTGAGGCATTACTGTACAACTATAAAATTAAACTTTTATGCAATTAATATGTGTGACTGAATTCTGAAATTAAAAATACAATTTTAGTCTTTTCCCTTTCTCTTATCTCTCTCTCTCTCTCGCTCAGAATATATTACTAAAAGATGAATTATTAAATTATACAGTCATAAATACATCGTGAACAAAATCACTCAAATTTTCAATTCCTACTATTAGCTCACTCTCTCCCAAAAACACTTTATTGGGCATATCAACAGCAGTCTATGCACAATTTAAGGCAGATGTTCAAAATGTCCGCCGTGCATGTCGAGGCAGGCTTGAGCACGCCGTGGAATGGCTGTCATCACACGTCGCAACATCGTGGGGTCAGCATGCAGACGAGCAATTAAGTCCATTTGTGTTGTCACTACGTCTCGATACACCAGTTCCTTGAGATGACATGTCGCAGTAGTCGCAAGGTATGTCGTAGGTACATGTCGCAGCAGTCAAACGGAATACATCACCACCATACGAAGACTACTGGTAGCTGCAAGATACAGCCTTTTAAATACCAGTTCAACGCGGCGGCTTAACGTCATTCCACAGCGCGCGCATGCATGACGCGTCATGCGCGACGAACGTTTTAAACATTACCGTCTGGAAAGATATGCAAATATTGTTGTTGATATGTCACTAAAGTGTTTTTTCTTGCACCAGAAGTGACGTCATACTTTGTTTTTCGTATTTTTCTCGTAAACTATGGATCGTACAGGAATGCTTCTTTGGGCAGTTTTTATGTACTCCCAACGAGGAATCTATCTGTGCAGAGTTTATGCGGTCGTTTTGGGATACCCTGTATTTTCGTAAAAATTATATTTCAACATTTTGCGGATATCAGCGAAGATAATTTCAAAATATAAATATTACCTGAATCTTCAAAAGTATATTCTAATTCCAATACATCTACAATTAAAAAACAGATAATATTTTATAGGTTATTAACTTTTAAAAGCTAAATGTAAATAGTCAATAGCATTGCAAGAGACATTTTTGATAAGTATTGCAAGTACTCCTCGATTCGTTTTTATACTTTGCTAGTCTCTAACTTATTTTATTGTTTTATTTCGAACTATTTTATTCGATTCTGTTGAATTTATCCCTTTTTAGAAGTACATTCATTCCCCTCGATGTAACTTGTGAAAATGTATAAAAAACTAAAGAGAACTACATTTTGTAATTTTATGTAATGTGGCTCTTAAATATAATCGAGGTGTGAAATGTAAAAGACACATGAAAGCACCCGTTGTTCAAAGTGGTGAAAAAAGTGGTGCACAGTTGCACGTTTTCATTTAGTAGCATGTGGATTATATTAACGAAATTCGTTTTATCTAAATCTTGGTGTAATTATTAGCTTATGGAAGCTATTTGATTTCTGTTTTTATGAATTCTTTCCATTTTTATTGAGTAGATATTTTGTGTTAATTTATATCAAGGATTACTTTTATTTTACCTCTCCTGTTAAAAGTTAGAAAATTAACTAGGTGAATACAAAAAGAAATATTTCAGCTCTTAGTCTGTCCTGAGGAATTCATGCTTAAGTTCTAGAGCTATGGATTTCGTTTAATAAAAATAAGTAAAATTCTCATCATAACTTAAATCAAAATAATATCAATATTTTGATTGATCTTTGTCCGTGAATGAAAACAAGTATAATATTAAATCTATAAAACTTTTGAATCATAAAAAAAATATTAAATCCTTCGGAAACCACAAATTAAAAGAATACCAAAATAAAAATTATAACACTAGAAGTTTTTCTATTCTTCTTGAAGAAATATTAAGAATATTTTTACATATATTTTTTACGTATCTTGATAAAAGCTTTCAAATTTTTTGCATGAACCAACAACGACAGTTCAAGAAAAATAAAGGCCAGAAACGCTCAAAATACTGAAATTAAAAATTAAAAATGAAAATTGCCCTTCTTCTTTAGAAAGAATATTAAAAATCTTTTCAAATAAAAAACGCGTGAAAAGTCATTTTCGAAATTCCTAATGCTTATTTTCTTTCTTTCTCAGCAACAATTAGGTGGCAGTAAGAAAACCGTATCTAAAGGCATTAAAACTGAAATAAAAAGAAGCTAAATCGCAATTTGCTATTCGGATTATTAGCCTTTGATTTAAGAACCTGAAAAGTATCAGAAAAACAGGAATAGTTACCACTATATACATTCTATGCGTGTATTTTACCACCGAAATAAATCTAGTACCTATTTTTCTTATATAAGATACCAAACCATGAACTCGACGTCGTGTTTCTACAAACAAAACACGGAGATAAGAAATTCTCCATCAAACCGGAAGTGGAATTTTTACGAGGGTCCTAAAACAAGTCTGGATTAGCTGAAAGAAAGTGGGAAAAGGGGAAGTACAGCTTGTTGCTCATAAAAAAAGTAAAACATAAGACCTTTCTTAGAAAGCCTTACAAATGTATGTGTGGCTCAACTTTATCAAAATTGGTGCTCCATACTGTATTGTATACTAGTTGCTAAAATTATCTTTGCTTAAAATATGATTTTTATTTCTGAACATGCTAATTTTTTCTTCAATGTATAGCAGTTCTTTGGCAAAAGATGGTATAAATTTATTGGTT